GGTTTAGGGTTCAGGGTCGAGCATAGAAGAGGGTAGTTCGACCCTGACCCTGAACCCTAAACCCTAAACCCTAAACCCTAAACCCTAAACCCTAAACCCTAAACCCTAAACCCTAAACCCTGAACCCCAAAGCCGAAGATACGAGGAGGATTTGCCTACCTACTGGGTGGACATGTGCTCTGGCGATCACATGAAGGGCGTGGACTTGGAGGCGGCTGGAGGGGGTTTGGAGCTCAAGGTTTCAGCTCGAAGCCAGAAGTAACTAGAATAGGGTGTTTGGGTATATTACGACATGTATTCTATAGGACTAGAAGAAAGCAACATTACGAATTTGTTTAGGCGTTTCTATTAGAGGAGCCTCGAAAAACTTGGAAATGTAGCTTGCGATCGCTTCGTAGAGAACTAGAGCTCGCGGCATGCCGCGACCTGCAGCCTTGTAAGTTCTCGTTGAAGAGCTTAATCCCTACACCCTTCTACCTAGAGCCTCAACCTGAAACCCAAGCCATAACCTGAAACTGCAAGCCCTAAACTCTAAACCCTCACCTTCCAGCCTACACCCTGAATCTTAAACCCTAAACCTTGAACCCTAAACCTTAAACGGTGAACCTTAAGCCCTGAACCTTAACACCTTAAGCCGTAACTCCCAAACCAAAGTTTCAGACCCAGGTATTTGGCTGCCAAGTCCTTTGGAGCGCAGCGTCTAGACTTTTTGTTTTAGGTTCCAGTAGCGAAACCCTAACCCTGAACCTTAAAACCCAAACCCCAAACCCTAAACCCTAAAACCTAAACCTAAGCCCCAAACACCAAACCCTAAACCCCCAACTATCTGAAACCCAAAACCCTGCACCCCGATCCACAAGCCGTCAACCCTAGCCACCCATCTGAAACCATGACGCCTTAAACCTTAAACCATAAACCATGAACCCAAGACCTTAAACCCTAAACCGTAAACCCCAAGCCTTAAACCCCAAGCCTTTAACCCCAAACCTTAAGCCCCAAACCCTAAACCCCAAGCCTTAAACCCCAAACCTTAAACCCTGAACCTTAAATCTTGAACCCTAGCATTTGGCTCAGAACCCAGGGCAAGCCGGTTCGATAGAACAGACTAGACCATGGGCTGCGGTGGGAGCTGCCAGAAGACGGCGCGGTCCAGCTCCTACTTCATGAAGGTGAGGATCAAAGGGCTTCCAAGGGTGGGAAGGTTTAGGGTTTAGGGT